CTCACTCACAACAAATTTAAATATACTCAAAGCGGCTATATAATGCTTATTTGCTTTAAACTACACAAATTCCCGGGGACGGGTAAACGGAAATAACCATTTTGTAATATAACTCAATTATCTGCGAAACACACATCTGTAAAACGACTGACAAACACAATTACGTTAGATGTGCCGCTACTTGTAAGTGCGTAATAGCCAAGACCGAGCAATTTATAGTGATCAAGTGATATAGCTGGCAAATAGATTATCTTAAAGTCATTCTGGAATTCAGCTGCGTCGTATTCGTTGCTATATTAATTCTCATCTGGAGTAGCCAACTAATCGAGATTATTTTTTCCGAAGAGGTGCGGCATTGACGCAAACTTATTTTTTGTATTACCTGCATACATTATCTTGTTTTCAAAATGTATCAACGTAACATTATTTCTGAATAATTAAAATTACATGGTATATATATACATAAATGTAATATATAACACTGAACACTACATTACTAGTATAATAATTACTTTACCTGTGTCTAATACGGGCGACGCAGTGGCGATTTATTGCGTGTTTAGTTATTTTTCTATTTACGCATTGTGTTTGAAGTGGGGGTATCGCGCCACAATCACAGCAAAATATCTAAAGCGCAAGACCAAGTGCAACGTATTCGAAGGTGAAGTCATGAACTGGCAAAGTTCTTTTTGAACTAACCTTGGGAATCGACCACATTATTGATCGCTTCTGAGTATGTTAAATGTATTTGTGAATCAATATCAAATCCGTGCAGGTGTAATCTATTAAATACTGCATCCGGTGTATGTGAGACGTCCCTAAAAAGCTGAGTATGAAAGGCCAATCAGCATAGTCTTAAACTCCTAAAGGTGCTTTTATTTTCATTGATGGTGATTGTGATCAACTGGGAGGGTCATTCTTGAGACATCCCCCCTTCTTCCCCCATAGAGCCTATTTAACAATTCCAATATTATGGCAACCGGGTCCTGTTTTTTCCCAAAGCAAAATGGCCCTAAATGTTCTCGAAACTTCGTTCACAACTTTAAAAGTTGTATGACAATGTGAAAGAACCTTTCCAAAATTCATATTTACATGGCAACCGGGTACCGACTTCTTACACAATGTAATCCATTGATTCTTATTTAATAATCAGTTCTTTTTGAAAATATATTCATATCTTTTGAGCTATCTGGCAAAGGTGGAAAAAGGTAAAAAGTTCATTTCAAAAATGCATGTTTTTATGGAAGCGTGTTCCAGGTCTCTCCCTAAATCGATTGTATGTATTATACGTTATTAAAGTGTTTGTGCAAACCATTTCGAGTAACGCAGCCTCACAGGCTATTCACGTTGTATGGGACATATTTCAATACGCAGTACATAACGAGGATGACCCACGTTTTCGTCCATT